GGCGGGCGGGCGGGCCTCGCTGCAGCCCGCAGCTAATGCTCGTTTTCCCGCAGAGTCCGAGCGGACCGAGGAGCCTGCGCAACTCACGGGGCTGTTCGAGGCGGCTAATCGGGAGTTCGAAAGCACGGAGGTAAGAGCCCGGCCCCGGCGGGGCCGCTGCGGGGGAGCTGCTCGGAGCAGCCCTGCCTGGGTGTCACAGAAAGGCACAGTAACAACAACTCCTAATTAACATATTTGCACCGTGGCATCTCTTCTGCCGTGGCTAAGCTGGAGCTTCACGTGAGCTGTGACTCGGGCTGCACACGTCAGTGGCTTGAGTCCCTGCCTACGTTAACTTGAGCAAATTGATACCACGGTGTTGTCACACTGAAAACTGCAATTGCACTAACATCTATTCTTGCCTTTCATACTTTGTTCAAATTCTTACATTTCATCATCTGGTATATGCTCTTTATCACCTGTGGCTTCGCTTGAGTCACTAAAATTTAGTCAATTCTGAACTTTATACACTGTAGAGTCACAGTGGAAGGTGGTTGAATAGTGGTGATAAAAGAAGCTTGCCAGAAAATACCATGCCTAATTGATGACTCCATCTCTCTTTTAGTCAGGAAGTGACTCTTCAGACATGTCAGAAGAACTTTCTACACAAGTTGATGAGGGAAGGTCCCCCGAAGAAACAACATCTGGTTTGAAAACTAGACTGGAGGACTCTGCTCTCCCTGATGCACAAAGGGAAGAAAGACCAACAAGCACTTGCTCTTCTTCTAGTGCAGTGGGAGAATTAGTAAAAACTATGCAACACTTAATGGAGAAGTTCAACGTCGACCTGTTCACTGTTACACAGGCCCTTCTGAAAAACAGTGGTGATGCAGAGACTACTTCATACTTTCTGCAGACAGGGCAGCGCCTGGATGGGTACCCACTTTGGAGCAGGGGGGATGATTTGGAATTGCAAAAAGATGATGAACATGCTAGAAATAAACTGATCGCAAAATTTGGAGCTGAAAACGTAGCGAAGCGGGTAGCGTTTAGAAAAAGTTAGAGAGCAAAGGAGAGGGAAATTACTGATCTAGGACTGTTTAAAACCAATTATTTCAGAAAAGCAAATGTGATTAAAAATTTGATGCGACATTCTGAAGTTTCAGAACTGCTTTAAAATAGGGTTTTTTTGTAAAAGGCCTTTTTTGTATTTGATTTTTATTTGTAGTACTGAGAATGCTCAATATTTAAAAGTAGAAACTGAAGAAAAAGATTCTATGCTGTATCAAGTTTTCACTGAAAATGTGCTTAAAAGTGTGTACCTGTCTGTCCATTGCTACATGCAAAGAGTTTTGAATAGAGTTGGCATCAAAATCTGACAATCAAATTAGGAATTAATTATGAAATTGACTATTTTAAGCCAAATCTATATTATGTTGAAAGGCAATGATAATTTGATGTATAACAAGACTGCTACTTGAGAAAGCCACTGTCCTAAAACACCACTTCAGTATTTAGGGAGTTAACCAACAGTAACCACATAAATGCCAGAACTCTGTTTTAGATTGTGCAGTGTTTCACTGGACAGGTCATTCTTGCTGAAAAAGTCATATTTGGTACATTAGTGCTGCTCAGGCTGGTTATCTGAGACTTGTGTGGAAGACCAGAGAAGCACCTACCTTAAGAGTGCAAGACAACATTAAAAAAAAAAATAATCATACTACTTTATTTGCCAAGTGCAGACTTTACTTGCTGGATTTGAAATTCAAGGACTGATGATGCCCAGGTTAATGAACAGAGCCAGGAACTCCCATTCTGGCTTGGGTGGTGTACATGTCTCAGCAGCAACACGACCTCACAGTTCGATGGTCTTGTTTAACCAAAACTGCTTTATAATTCAAAGTGAGAGACAGAACACATTAAATGGCTGCAGCATAAAAACAAAAGGCTTGCTTTAACTTTTTATAATTCTAAGTGAAATTTCAAGAATCCAATATGCTGAGGGCAGTTTGGCTTACCATATTCATATCAGGCCCCTGCACTGTTAGAGCGTCAGGAGCGCTGTTTCTGTAGTGGAAAGGATAGAGGCTTCTTTGTATTATTGCCTGGAGCAGCAATATTTGTAACCTGGAGGGATGAGCTGAGTGGCAATGCACATACCAAAACTTTGATTTAATAGACAGTTTCAGAGGCAGAAATACTTGGTCTGAAAACTCTTACCTGGAGCTTGGGTATTTCCCATTTGCTTCCTTTTAGACTTAGCATTCATAGCAATCAACAAATTATGGCCTTTCATAACTGAAGTTACTAGCAGAGAACTGATTGCATACACCAGGTTGAAAAGGAACAGACTGGAATACCAAAGAGTTGTTTTCTAAATTTCCTTTTGAAAGAAATTTCCCTTTTTCCATTCTTCTCCATCTTACACTTTGTTGGTATAAAAGCAGAGCTGATTCTTCTGAACTTGCACAATGTAAACTTGACATTTGTTTCTAGTGATCTTTATTTTATGCACATGCCACAGGATGTAGCCGTATTTTTAAACATCATCCTCACCATCTTGAAAGTCTGGGGCTTTGTTTTGTTTTGTTTTTGTCCTCCAAAAATATTTTATCTTTCCTTGCATTAAGACAACTTTAAATTTTCATGTGACTCCACTGTGTCTTTTGTACTTCCAGAAAAAAAAACATCTTGCCAATTACTGTGTTGAGGTAAAGATACACCAAAATCAATGATCCTGCTTTTTCTCTAAGCAGCAGAAGTTTAAGTAATTTTCAAAACAGTACATTATGAGAATGCAGCATATGTTATTTTCATGCCATTTGTTTACTGGCTGACTGGAAACACTACAAAGGTTTTTCTCCAGCTAAACATTTGATACATGGCATTGACTGCATCCACTGAGAACAAGTATTCAAATAAAATATATTTGGAAATATAGTGAAAAGAATCTCTATTTTCTCAGGAAAAGGCTTCTTAGCTCTTAAAATAGGAAGCTCTTCACAATTACTTCAGTAAGAAAAGGCTTCTGAGACTCCATGATTCAGCTGAGTATGCTGAGTATGCACTGTTCAATAGAGGCACGATAAAGAAGTTTGCAATTTAGACATGAAAGAGGATGTTGAGAAGAAGGTATTTTTATGCATTTCACTCCCGAAGTCTGGTAACAAGCTTTTCTCCATGTCTTATGGAACACTATTAATAAAAGGTAAAAAGAATTCTGTTGCTGACGTTTGAGCTACACATTCCCATTGAAGGTGGAAGAAGGGCATCGCCATTCCTGATGGTGAAGATCTGCATAATCTATTGATCATAATTTTGTTGTGCTCTAAGACAGAAATACTGTCACCAAATAATTAAATAAGATTAATTCAGTCCTCTACAAAAAGGATGGGACAGGCTGGAGAGGGTCCAGAGAAGGGCCACAAGGATGATCAGAGGACTGGAAGGCCTGCTATATGAGGAGAGGCTGAGAAAACTGGGTTTGTTCAGCCTTGAGAAAAGGAGGCTTCAGGGAGACCTTATTACAACATTCCAGTACTTAAAGGGTGGCTACCAAGACAATGGAGACTCCCTATTTACAAGGAGTCACATGGAAAAGACAAGGGGTAATGGGCACAAGTTGCTCCTGGGGAGGTTCCAATTGGGCACAAGAAGTAAATTTTCTACCATGAGGACAATCAATCCACCAAGGGGGTGGATTCCCCCACATTGGACAGTTTTAAGTCTCAGCTTGACAGGGTGCTGAGCCACCTCACATAAACTATAATATTACCAAAAAGGTTGGATCAGATGATCTTTTGAGGTCCCTTCCAACCTGGCATTCTATGATTATATAACTTCCCTTTCTCCCCTTGGCTTCTTCAGTCCACCTACCAGAAAACGGCCTTCCCAGTTCCAGTATTTATGCCAATGGAATCTGTGTCATTACCTTGTCTTTAGAGTCTCCGCCTTTGCACAAATACTTCCCAGTCACACAGGAGGACTGTGAGAACTTCTGAGGGAACAGCTATTCTTGGTTTGAAAATTGGAAGACAAAATTATTTCAGCTGAAAAATAAAAGAGATTCACATAGTCCCAGAAATTAAGCCCAATATGCAAACCCAGGAGTTTTTATTTTCAGCAATGGCTGATTTATTCAGTTTTCCCATTACATAGTAAGTGAACACAAACATCTCCCCAAAATTACCTCCAAGGCTGGATGCCCAGGCACAGGAATGGAGGGGAAAACAACAACAACAACAACAACACCCAAACAAATGAAAAACCAAAGTACCCAATACAAAAAAAACTTCGGGCTTGAAAACTCAAACTTTCCCAAAAAATGATCTTTCCAGAAACCAATGCCTGGTCATCCTTGCATCAGTTCTGACATTATATATCCTGGGTGGCAGCATGACAAATAACATCCTCTTCATTCACTTTCCATTTGTATGTCCTCTTCCTTTGCAGTGCAATTGCTCCATGGTGTTTCAGTAGTATTTACCTGTGGTCTGTGAGGGGTTTGAGCTCTGCTGTCTGGTCCCACTCCTTTGGCATGCTGTTTGCTCTAACCCACACATACTTGCTGTTTCACATAAACCATGGACTTAGTTGGAAAAGAGATTTGCATTACTTCAGCCTGTAATGTGGCTGAGACTCCAGGAGCCTTGGAGAGTGATCCTGTGCTGCTGAGAAGGCTCCCATGAGTGCAGTCACAGTTCCCATGTAACTTGTCCTTGCAGAGCACACCCAACCATGCACTCTTACACACACACATGTGCACCACTGTCCTCTTTTGCTCTAGTAAACAGCTCTCTGCCCTGCAGCTTTCAGAGAGCAGGTGCAGAGAACAGCTTTTCTGCCATCATAATTTGTTACTCAGAGGAGATCTGGGTAAACAGGAGATCTAGTGACATATTTTTTTGCTCTTCTTCTGATTGAACAAGCCGGTAGCCCAGCAAGTCCATTGCATCCTTGCACACATTTTGCACTTTTTCTATTTTCTGGAAGGGAAGAGTGGTTCTCCAGGCCTGGGATACTCTCAGTGCATCTCTGGACCCAATATCAAAAGCCTGTGATCCTTGCCCTTTCCCATGGGTGATGTTGTGCACCCACTTCTGAAGTTCTGGTGTGAAGTGGAGTTCTGCAAACCTGTACATCTGAGCAGCCCTTGCCAGAGGGTCTCTGACAATGTCTTCATAGCGAACCAGCAGGTAGCGGTCTTTCAGGAAGCTGGGAACAGCTTGACTGCCTGCCTTGTAAATCTCAACTTGGCTTTTGCAGATTACTTGCATTGTGTTGTAGGGTCCCATTTCTCCCTTAGTGTTCTGGGAGCCCACAACAATGTCACTGTCACGTTTCAGGTTTGCCACTGTATTCTCTCGGGACCGGAACACAGCCCGAGGATCACGAACCAAGTGAATGATTTTGAGGTTCAGGGATGGATCAGTGAGAAGGGGGTAGAGAACTTTGAGGTCAAAGAACCGAACCTCCTTGACGGCAACATGGCTGTAGGTCTTACAGGCTTCCTCCACCTTGCTGAAGGGGTACTTGCCACAGATGGTTCTGCAGCTGCTGGCAGGGATTATGTCCCTGCGGTTGAAGGAGTGACAGGCAGGGGGGGAGCACAAGGCTCGGCTTGTCTCCCACTGAAACAGATCAGACTTCTTCTTCTGGCTAGACATGTAAGCATCAAACACAGACATGTCACACAGAAAGACTGACCTGACGAGGTCCCGCACTGCCATGTGTAAGACTTCAGCACTGTTCTGGTACATCTTAACCCACACGTGCCATGCAGGTTCCATCAGGTAGAAGACACTGGGGTGCTGGCTGAAGATTTGTCCAGTGAAGGAAGATCCTGATCGCCAGGAGGAGAGAATGAGGATGTGGACTTGAGAAGGTTTTTCTACCATAGGGACATTTTTGCTGCAGAGTAGGAAGTGGGAGTGGATCAGAAGGAAGGCCAGAACTGCCAGAGTCAGAAGCACCTGCACACTTCTAGACTTCATCATGGTTGCAAGGGACCTGCAGAAACAGAGGAAGTTCAGCATCACAGGTTCATGAAGAAGGCAGGATGTGGTGCACCAGGCACCTTTGCTATGAAAACAGGCTGAGAGAGATGGGATTGTTCAGCCTGAAGAAGAGAAGGCTTTGGAGAGACCTTAGAGCACCTTCCAGTACCTGAAGGGGCCCTACAGGAAAGCTGGGGAGGGACTTTTGACAAGGGCTTGTAGTGAGAGGACAAGGGGTAATGGATTTAAATTGGAAGAGAGGAGATTTAGATTAGACATTAGGAGGAAATTCTTCACTATGAGGTTGGTGAGAAACTGAAACAGGTTGTCCAGAGAAGTTGTGGAAGCCCCACCCCTGGAAGTATTCAAGGTCAAGTTGGATGTGGCTCAGAGCAACCTTCCAAAGCAGGGGATTTGGATCTAGATGGTCTTTAAGGTTGTTTCCAACCCTAGCCATTCTATGAATTTCAGAAAATATTTAGTGTCATCACAGGCAAAAACTCACATACCAAAGGTAGTCATTTGGTACTCCAATAAGTCCAAGCACAACAGTATCTCCTCCACCATCAGAACATCATAGGTAATTTTTCTAGAAAGGGCTACAAGGGTTTATCTCATCCATCTTTGTGTAGGCAGGCTTACCTACTACTAAACAACCACTTCTTTAGTCCAACTCCTCTTTAAAGGCTGTCTCCTGCTACTCCTCCCTCCAGCCCCACTCATCCTGTAAGTCCTTCATGAAAAGAGGTACAATACAACATGTCAGTTAAACTCAAAAGTCTGCCCAAAGCTGGCTCCTTGTTTCTTGCTCTAAACCTCTCTTCTGCCTGTTGAAGATGACTTAATTATTGGAAAAACATCCATTATACTGCCTGGGGACAATTCATAGCCTGAATACCAGCTGGCACAGGCATCTGCAGGCAGTGCACTGTTGGGGATGGGATTTGAGGCAGAAAGAATTAACTTAATTTTAAACAGGTACATTAAAGCATGTTTTGCCAACTGTTCCTCTTGTGTCCTCTCCTGACCTGCCCCAGCCATGCCCGACTGTGCCCTGGACACAGGTGGTTGCACACAGCACTGGCCACCTCCAGGGACAGGATCCTCAGTACAGATGTTCACACAGGATGGTGTGCTCCTCTGTGACCACGTGCCAGGCTGGAAGTTTAGCTGTGCTGTGGTGGAGAAAGGCCTCTCTGGCCAGTGCAACTGCTTTCTATTTCCCAAGGTGAACTAAAATGAAAGCAACTTACTGGTTCACAGTTATGGTCTGCTTCCACCTCCGGACAGGGTAGAAGAAGCAGGGCCGTCAGGGCGAGCTGGAAAGTCCTTCTGGACAGAGCAGCACTGAAGCCCAGGTCCTTAGAGTTTTGCGCAGATTGTATAACTTTTGTGCAGCCCGTGATGGTGCTGAATTCAGGCAGCCATGCCCATACAGAGCAGCTGCTTCTCTACTAAAGCACCAGAGGTACAAAGTGTGCCCCAACTGGCCACAGTGCAGACATTGCTCCCTCGTTACGTGCTTTCCGTGTTATCTTCTGGGTCCATGGCAATACGTCAATGTTCCCAGTCAAAATTTCCCTAACCTTCATTTTATGCCTTGCCTCAGTTTCCCTCTCCAGTGAAGTTTTCAGACTAATTTGCATGGAGGTGCCTTCTCTCAGGATTTCAGTTCCTGTAGGACTGACATTTAGATTTCCAGGTACAGTCACTGCTGCTAACCAACTAGGAACCATACTCATCTACTACTCCAGCATATAAGCATAAATGGGCTTATTTTTCTAATATACCTGCTGTGTGTTTATTAGGAGCTTAGGGCTTACAAGGGAGCAATTATAATTTCTCAGAGGCAGGCCAATACCCAGCCCAAGGGGTAAGCCTGGCTGTCACCAATAAATGCTACCACAATATGAATTTTATTTTAGTGAGGCCTTGCTAGGATGGAGCTGCGCATTTAGTGAGGGACCACATGCTTCTGGTCTCCTGGACAAGAAGCCCACTGATTCTTTTGGTTATACAAATGGACTGTAGAGTTCAGGTCTGACAATAAGCTGATTCAGGTCAAAGTTTGGACCAAGCCTAGGAAGATCTGCAAACAAAATACTGTTGTATAAGTCATATATCAGCTTCCTCCTTGCAAATTAATACAGCAGTGTTTACCAAGAGTCCTGGCTTCCAAATGAACTTTGATGAAATCAATTCCATCCGGTACCATTAATATTGATATTCTAACTCCTGACACGAGTTCCTGGACTACACCCAGAAGCTCTTAATTGAGAGAAACTCTGTTGAGCAGACACAAATACTGGCATTAAGACAACCAGGCAGATTTAAAACCACAGAAATCATTATTTCTCTGTAAACCTGTGTGTGCATAGTCTGAGTCAAAGAGAATGGATTCAGGTTTTTTGGGAAGCAAGGGTGTGCTTTTATCCTGAATCAAACCAGGGTGGCACAGGTGGATGTTTTATACATTTCACAGAGCATGTAAGACCATCCCTATGAGTGCCTGCCTGAGAAATGGCCCGATGTGAGGCCACAGCCTCAACAGTTTATTCGCTCTTATACAAGAAGTAGTGACGGTTGTTGCCCTGACCAGTCTGTCCTACAGGCAGGGGAAAAGGACTGAAATGAGTTGTGTGTGCCTGATGAAGCGGAATAGAGGAACAGCAAAGAGTGGTAGAGGTTCCAGTAGACATTTCGTAATATGAAATATTAATTATATAACCTTATTTTTCACCCCTGTATCTCGATCATGGCAGTTGGATGTTCCTCAACTAAAGGCTTAAGGTTAACCACATTCTCTCTACAGCAAACATCCAGAGTGACAAGTGATTCAGTTCATTTCATATTGCAAAAGTGAAACATGAAACCCTCACAGAGCTGCAGAGTAAAGATCAGCTCAGAAAAATTAAGACAATCTCGGCTGCAGAACAAAAAATGGCATACTTGTACTGTCAGAGAGCTGAGCCAGAATTTGGTTGAAAGCAAAAAGAACAGGAAGAATATCAAGGTACTAAGGATGTAAAACAGAAACTTCTAAAATTACAATTCTGTGTCACCATGTTAAGTCTCCCATGACGCACATATGAGAACACAAAGAACAGGGATTTGCCTGCCTGAGCAGGCAGAGTCTCCAAATAAAATGAGTTTTAAACTTTTCCAGAAACTTTTCCAGGACCTTGGAAAATCTTGATTCTGGCAGAGAAAAAGCATCACAGAAAGTAGCAAGCAGCACGAGGGAGGCATAGACAACAAACATACTTTGGGCACGTGTAGCATGTTCCCAGAGTACAGGGGAGCTGAACCTGTGCATGTCTCAGGAGGATGTGACAGTACAGGCCCAAACACCTCCTGGCTGAGTGCTCTGCAAGTCTGGGGAAATTCATACAGATCCCACACTGCTGTAGTGGCAGTAGTAGCAAAGAAGATATGATGCCAACAAAGCCCCAGATACTGGTCTTTGAAGGCAGTGATGGTTACTCATAGTTTAATCAAAAGCCTCTTCTATTTGGCTACCTTCTAAGCCAGACCAACAGTTTCTGTCTGCAAGAGGAATCATGTAGCAATTTACTGTCATCCATATGTTTACAGTTTTACAAAACTTATATCCCAGTTTAGGCTGCCGTGAGCAGTGAATACCATTCTGGTCACCAGAGCATCCACACCAGATATCAATAAATAGTTGAAAATCTCACCTTAAGGAGTCCTCTTGAAGCACCACCAGACCTGGTTTAAGTGAAGTTGCTCTCACACATGTACACTGCTGCAGTACACGGTCCTGCAGGCAGCCACACCAACAGCTGGTGTCATGGACTGGCACTCTGCTTTCCTGCCTGGTGCTCATACACACATGTACTCAGCTCTTACCTGTGCCTCCTCTCTCCCATCCCCTTTTTGGTATTTGGTATTTGGGTATGTCCCAGCTCTAAAACCAACTACTCTGCAGTACCCGCCTACTTTGACCAGCTGTAAACTAGGAAACTCCACCCTGCCCTATGCAGCAAAGCATGGGAATGGCAGTTCCTTGAAAGGCCACACATGACCAAACCATGCTAGTTAAGGAGAAGGGCTAGGAAATTAATGAAGAAGGCTGAGAGGCGCTGTTAAGTTCCACTGCAAACCCTGAAAGAGACTGCTCTCTGTAAAAGGAGGAACAGAGATGTCTGTGGAGTGTCAGAGCAAAGGACAAAGAGGAACCATTGTTGCAAGGAGGATCAGCTTGCTGACCAGGAGTACAGAGATAGGATCTATCTGCCTACTATTGCTCTAGCTGCTAGCCATGTTGTCAGCAGATGCAGATTCACAGAATCTCAGAATTGTCAGAGTTGGAAGGTACCTCTAGAGATCATCTAGTTCAAGTCCCCTGCCAAAGCAGGATCCCCTATAGCACATTACTCAGGACTGCATCCACGGGAGTCTTGAATATCTCCAGAGAAGACTCCACAACCCCCCTGGGCAGCCTGCCCCAGGGCTCTGTCACCCTCACCATACAGAAGTTTTTCCTCATATTTAAATGAACTTCCCATGTTCCAGCTTGTGCCTGTTGTCACTCATCCTGTTACTGGGAACTACTGAGTAGTGTCTGGTTCCATCCTCCTTGCACCCACTATGCAGCTACTTATAGGCATTGATAAGGCCTCCCCTCTGCCTTCTCTTCTCCAGGCTAAACAGTGCCAGATCTCTCAGCCTTTCCTGATAAGAGAGATGCTCCAATCCCCCAGTCATCTTTGTTGCCCTCCACTGGACTCTGTCCAGCAGTTCCCTGTCTCTCTTGAACTGGGGAGTCCAGAACTGGACCCAGTTCTCCAGGTGTGGCCTCACCAGGGCAGAGTAGAGGGGGAGAATGACCTTTCTCAACCTACTGGCCACACTCTTCCTTATGCATGCCAGCATTCAAATTGCCTTCTTGGCCACAAGGGCACATTTCTGGCTCACGGATAATTAACTGTCTACCAGGACTCCCAGATCCTTCTCCTTGGAACTCCTTTTCAGCAGGTCCACCCCTGCTGCATGGGGTTCTTCCTCCCCAGGTGCAGGACCCTACACTTGCCCATGTTGAACCTCATTAGGCTCCTCTCTGCTCTGGTCTCCAGCCTGTCCAGGTCACACTGGATGGCAGCACAGCCCTCTGGTGTGTCAGCCACCCCTCCCAGTTCTGTATCCTCAGCAAACTTGCTGATTCACATGTCTTTTTGATTCTTTCCTGGCTGTGCCTTGCTTGAGTTAAGCGCTGGGGGGCTGGGAAAGAGAATTGTGTGAAAGGAGAAGCCATGAAAGGAGCAGCTGGACTTGGCCTGTTAATTATTCACAAGGGTGCTGGAGCTGCAGTGGGGCTGTGCCAGGTAAGGTAGTGAAGCAGAGCAGCACTGGGCTCAAGAGAAACACAGTTTTCTGCAGCCACGCAGAGACGATCGCTTTGGATCACTCCTGCTCCAGGTTTCATAATTTCTGTCACAGTCTGGAGAGGTGTGTTGGTACCCCCTGTCCCCAAGGATCTCACTGAGCTACTCTGAGGACAAGTGGAGTATAGGAGATAGCAGAAGCAAAAATCTGGGCAAGGATGGTCCTTCCAGCAGGCAGGACAACCTGAATGTGGCAGGTCACATTCCCTTTCATTTGCTGCGTTGCAAACACAGATGGTCAAGCCCTGGTAACCCTGAGCAAGGAAACCGAGTGAGGAGCTGGCAGTGGTCCAGGTAGGGCTCTGCAGAGAAAACCAGGCAATATTCTGCACCTGGATTTCACCTACGTGCTCCTATGCCTGCATTGCCACACTTTGAAGGAAGGATCTACCTGTATGTCAGTGTTACAAAGCTGGTTTGAACAGGTCACACACCACTTGAGTGGCTTTTCATGAAGCCTCCCTGACCAACAGTTGCATGAACAAATATGTACCAAAACTCCTGCTCCACATGTGTGTATAGTTTCCCAAAGGCATTCTGGTCCTTTGGCACCAGTATTCAGACATTATGACTACACTGAACAGTGCTGTACTGTCCTCTACTTAGAGGGCTGAACAGATTTTTTTCAGTTGCTCAGATCCCAAGTTCCAACTACTTAGCAGAGCTTTCCAGAAGGCAGCTTCTGTGGCAGTTGCACAGGGGAAAATGTACTCTTCTTTGGAGAAGAGGCTTGGGAGAGCACACTGTTCTGGCAACACTGTATTTCCTGAGACCTGCACACTGTGGAAAGTGAAGGAGGTATAGGAGGTATCCCCTGGCTCCTGACCAATGGACATCATTCTCCCTGTATGTCTGACTCTTAAGTTTCATGAAGCAAAGCAGAAGTAAACAGCAGTCAGCCTTTTACTTAAGGGCAGTCAGCCCCATAGAATCACAAAACGGTTTGAGTTGGAAGGGACCTTTAGAGGTCATCTAATCCAACCCTCCTGCCATGAAGAGGGACATCCTCAGATACAGCAGGTTGCTCAGAGCCCCATCTAACCTGACCTTGAATGTTTCCAGGGATGGGGCATCTCCTACCTCTCTATGCAACCTGTGCCAGTGTTTCACCACTCTCATTGTAAAAAAATTCTTCCTAGTATTTAGCCTAAATCTAACCTTTTCCAGTTTACAATCATTATCCCTTGTCCTATTACTACAGGCCCTGCTAAGAAGTCCATCCCCATCTTTCTTACAGGCTCCCTGTAAGTATTGAAAGGCTGCAGTAAGGTCTCCCTGGAGTTTTCTCTTCTTCAGGCTGAACAAACCCTAGCTCTCTCAGCCTGTCTTCATAGGAGAGGTGATCCAGTCCTTGGATTGCTGTTGTTGCCCTCCTCTGGACTCACTTCAACAGGTCTATATTCTTCTTGTGCTGAGGGCTCCAGAGCTGAATGCTCTCCAGGGGGGGTCTCACCAGAGCAGAGAGGAAGAATCACCTTCCTCAACTCACTAGCCACACTGCTAGTGATGCACCCCAGGACACAGTTGGCCCTCTGAGCTGGCCTTGCATGCCTTACTTCCACCTCAAACTGTGGCTGATCACATTTCTTCTTTCTACCCCCTTCCATGATTAAGGGTGTTTTCTGAGGATTCAGAGACTAATGAGCCCTGTGAACTGCCCATGCAACCACAGCCTTTCCATCTGTTACACTCTGAAGAAGCAAGGAATGTGTGCTGTGCTGCTCAGCACACACAGAGCGCACCTGACCCAGTGCAGCAGCAAGTAGGCCGAGGAGGAATGTCAGAGGTATTGACTCCTCAGTGCTGGCACTGCAGAAGACTCCCTCCCTGAGGATGTATCATTGATAGTCTGATGAGAGAAACAGGCATACCTAGAGCAATGGAATCAGCTCAGCTGAAAGCTCTGACCACTCCCTGTGCCCTGTCTTCTGTCACCATCAAGAGCTGATAATCAGGGAAGAGAGCAAGAAGGGAATTTCTCCTTCAGGTGCTGCCTACAGAGGGTTCTAGAGCACAGGATTGACCTCTCTGAATGTAGGTGTCCAAAATAAGCTAGTGAGTGATGCCCCAGAAGTTCCCGTTTCTTTTTCTTGGCTGTGACAAGAGTGGGGAGCAATGTTTGTAAGTAGACATCTGCATTGAAGCTTCCTAAAATCAGTTGAGATCAAGCTTGCCTTTGGATTTTACAGCACCTAGATATTTTTTTTCTGGTCACTTGCCCAATCATGGGTTTTGAACTCACAGATACTTTTGGCTTTAACAGTATTCCCTGGAGATTAAAATATCTTCAACTGCATGCTACGAAAACTATTCCTCTCTGTATTGAAACTGGCATATAAAAACTGTATTAGGTAATACCACCTTTTGACTATGAGTAATTTCTCCCTATTCACAGTCTTCAAGCTACGCAAGATCTTAGCATCCACTCGTATATGCCCTAGAGAACACAACTCATCTTATACCAGGTTGATATATAAAGCAGTTCATGGGAATGATGCTACAGAAGCCTCTGTCTCTTTCCACTGACTGCAAAAGGAGCCCACAGAACTAAGAGGAGCGATATCAACTCTGGAGCCATCGGCACATGCAATATAGATCACAACATACAAGGGGATCCAGGCTGATGGAAAAGCCTTCCTATGTTCTGCATACTGGTCCCCTCTTCTTCAGTACTCAACTCATGTCTCCTGAGCACCCCTCTTTGCAGACAGCAATGTTTATTCACCAACAGGATTCCAGACAGAGATAAGAGTGACATTGTCTTCTCAAATTTCAAGGGAAGTTTGTGATCTTGTAACATCCTGTCTGGCTCAGATCACAACTTTGACCTTAGACATTCTCAAACACAAGGACAGATTATGCTGCTACTGTTTCTCCCCTTCCTATCAGAAAGGCAGACTTAGGCAACTACGAGTGTCTCTCATGTGTTCGCTAGTATTTATGTAGAGGGAACAGTTAGCTCCTGATGTTGGGATGGCTCACACTCCCTGCATCCCGAAGGGATGAAAGACACCAGGGAGCTGCCATGGGAGCCAATGCGGTGACCACGCAGGGGGGCCGGCCAGGACGACCCCCCCGCCCCCAGAAACCCCACAAAACAACAAACCTGGCGGGACGGCTTTTCTCACCCAGTCGCTGCTCCTCGCAGGGACGAGTGCCCAGGGCTCCGCTGCCCCGGGCTCCTGGCGGGGCCGGATCCCCTGGCGCCCCGGGCTGGCCGCGTCCTCCCCGCGCCGCTCACGGGACCCCGAGGCGATGGTCGGTCCCCGCCTGCACC